TTACGGAAAACAGGGAGACTGTGTAGAACTGGAGCAGTATACGGGCTTGAATGCCTAAACTGCCACGCTACCTATATTGGCGAGACCGGGCGGCCACACTATGTACGCGTACAGGAACATTTAACGAGTAAAAAGGAGAGCATAACAGCCCCGTTAGGAAAAAACAAGAAAGTTGATCACTGAGAAAATGTTTTCATGTTGAGTGTACAGTCTTAGCTTTAAAAAGTAGAATATTCGCTCGCAGAGAGTTGGCAGCGTCATTCATTCTATCAAGGGAACTCAAAATGAATGGCAAAAATGAACAATACTCTATCACAAGTGATCTCATGCTTCTACCGTTGCCAGCTATAACGCCCACATTATATAAGCAGATCCTTAGTAGGACTGCCTTCATACTTCCATCATCTGTACGTGAAGCTAAGCACTGCCGTCGCAGCATGTTGTCAGCGTGATCATTGGTGAGTTGTTTGTGAATTAAAGGCTAGCTAGTTTCGCTCAAAACAAACGAATATTCAAATTTGAAGGAGAGGGGTTTGACCTTACAGAGCGTACGGTAAAAGTGAATGACTCAAAGGCAGCGTTCGGGCAGATACGAAAATGTAGAGTACAGGGGCGCCCGTTCTGGTAAGGCTCTTGCCCAATTGGTAATGCACCAATTTGCACCAAAATTGTCACTGTCATTTGCACCACCAATTTGTCGCAGCGTGTTGCAGGGCCCGGTAGGGGGTTGCATTCCAGGATTTCAAAAACGACATCCCCTTTGAAGCCCAAAATCTTTACGACTTCCTCATTGACCCCCTATTTTGACCCGTCATTTTGTGACGGTCAGGTACATGCAAACAAAAAGGACTCAGCGCTTACTTCAAACTTCAAAACACCTCACAAACTTCTCCACTGACTTTGGCAAATTTTTGACTTTTCAAGGACTTTTCGCTTGCCCTGCTGTAACCATAACTTTGTTCAGTATGCTTTTCCAAATTCTACAATCTGCATACATTAGATTCTATTCGAAAGAGCGTGATATCCAAAAAGCACAAAATTTCACAATGAAGCCGAAATTATCTTTGAAACTGCTCGTAATGTGACGAAAAGTGGAGAGAGAGATAGATAAAAAGTAATATCACTTTATTCAATTTAACAAAAACACAATTCACTAGCATTGAGTTGGGGGAGCCCTAAAAAATAGAACGCCAACCAATGTAGCGTCGTTTAAGAGATCGGCTTTACCGTCGCCTCTTTTTGAAAAAAAAACGGAGGCCACATGACTTAACTTAACATCGCTGGTTAAACGGCGGGAATTCATTGAAGTTAGTTTCTTGTATTCTCATATATCAGTTGAGGTCGAGTGCGGTGACCAGTGGTGTTTTAAAAGCATGGTTGAAAAGACTTGTACTCAGGTCTCTTTGCGCTTTCCATTTTTTTGAAACTAACCTATGACATGCTTTGCCAAGATCTTTATTGGAAGAGTCACGACTGCGTAAACATGTAAGAGACATCACAGCAAGCAATCATAAATCGTTCACTTGAAAGCGAGCAAGAGCCTGCAATAAGATTTCATACGCTCCTATATCTTTGACACAGATACAGAGAAAGAGATAGAGAGGAGAGAGAGAGAGAAAGGGAAGGAGTGGGAGGGAGGGAACGAGAAACTCGTTTACTAAATTCTTGTGTAAAAAAAGAGATAAGGGCCACGTTATTTCGCTTAACTCTACATATTTGCTTCATTCCGTTACGTTTCATTACTGGAACACCACATCGTCGCTAGGGACGATGCTGAAAGCTTGCGTGGGATGGACAATATAGATCTGCAATAGTGACGAAGCTGCCATCTCAAACTATTGGGCAAAAAAGTATGCAGCAACAGTAAATTTGAATGAATCCATATCCGCGCAGCATGTCTGAAGCTGCCTAGCTACTACGACGCTACGTTTTACAAAGAATTTAACAAATTATAGTGCTCAAAATCTTGTATGGTACTGATAGGTAGGTCTCAAGTGAGCTATCGCCCAAACAGCAGCTAAATCATTGGTAAGAAATTTGTGTACCCACTTTGGCCCAAATCGTACCTCTTCTGCAAAACCATTGTGAGCTGCCGCTTAGACTGATAGCTACTCTCAATCAGCATCCATCTAGGAAGCCCAAACATTACTTGGCTGAAGGGTCTACGAAAGCCTTCACAAAACAAATGAAATCTTGTCAGGAAATCCGCAAGCAATCAAGGAAAAGTCAGCTAGATGAAAACTTTAGCAAATAACTACTCACCTCGGAGTAAAAGAATACGTAGATTTTTACAAAGTGAGCTGCAACGATGAGCTTTGCATCAGTACTTGTGTATGCAACGTAGCAGGGCTCACTTAGCATCCAAAAACTCGATATCACATCACACTTTGCCATTTTCGGACCTGTGAAGGACATAATCAAAACTGGAACTTGTGGCAAATAAAGTCCTAAACATCAAATTTCCCATCGTCTTAGTCTAGATAACAGCGTAACAAATCATCCAGCGTCACTTACCAGATTTGAAACAAAAGAACAGGCTCGTACCTATAGTTACAAATGGCTGCGAAGAGCGCGCCCCATGTCCCAGTGCAAATCTGTATCCCGCGCGGGAACCCTGACGATTAAGCGCGCACACCCTATAAATTTCAGCGCCAAACAAGTGACACTGAAAGGAAATCAACTCTTTTCTGAAAGGGAATCACAAAAACAAGTACTGTGGGTTAACGTGCGATGATCTAACTTTCATCTCTTGCCATCTAGATCATTCTTCATTAATCTAGTGCCTCAAGAACTTAGGACGGGTGAGAAAGTAATGGTTTGTTTGTGCCTATACAGAAAAGGGCTTTCTACTGAACATACGTTTGCACCATGAAAAGCCATAAAAGAAGAAAGCTGCAGATCAAGTGTCAAGAGGTAAGTTATTCATTCTGAGACGAGAAGACTCAAAACACTTCAATTTGAAAAGCACTGTTGACATACCCCATTTTTGATGATAGACCACTTGGACAAAATCAGTTTGAGCATGTTCAAACAACTTGTAGATATAGAGCGTTTTCGAGTTTTTTGTGCACAGAATGGGTAGTAGCTTGCTGGTAAGCGCTGTAAGTCCAGATGGATTTCGATAAACCCGTTCGTGAAAATCATTGTGTACGTCAGTTTTCGCAGCTTAGGTAGGCTTAGGTACCTCCAGCTCAGGTAGGGCCCTATTACGCTTTCCAGTTTACTACTTGTCACACGATTTTCGCTACTTAGTCTTCGTTCATATCTCACGGATAGGTGGATGAGAGTACAAAAGCATAAGTGCGGCCTGTAAGAATTATGTTCGGATACTCCCGCTTCTTTGTCTCTCTTCTTTGTCTCCTCTGCTCATCTAAGCGCATTCCTTAGGTAGCGACGCACTGAGATAAAAATGCTTTCCATGATGTCACAACCAAAAATTTTATGCATGCATCGGAATAAACTAAAGGACTTTCGTCACAGGTTTTGATGGTATAGACCCGGCCTCTCTGACTTTCATACTTATGACAGATGAAAAGTAGCCTGAGTTGTTGAATAGAAAGTCCACCTTTCATACTTGTTATAGATCAGAACTTGCAGATACTGTATTTAGTGTAGGAAACGAGATATGGATCCTGAATTTGTTTACCGTGAGTACGCAACAAGGTAATTAGATTTAGAAACAAAAGAAACAAGTCTTCAGAAACACAAGCACAAGCAAAAACTACGGGCCTATACAAAGCTGTTCAAAAGCTCGCTACTAGCAAAAGGTCGTACAAAGAAGTTCAAGCAAAAAAGTTCACAGCAAAAGGTCAACTACGGGTACATGTACAATCTCTAGCCTGTCATCGTCAACTCGTTGCCGCTGACTCAACTTATCGTCGCCAGCTCATCCATAACATTGATAAGCTGTACTATCACTAACTCTATCAAGATCTTCATTGATTAGCCTGTACAGCTCAGATAGTAGACATCTGTACCTTAATTGCGCGCTCCGACACCGAACGCCCTGCGCGCCGGTCAAATTTGCATTGGGTCATGGGGCGCGCTCTTCGCAGCCATTTGTAACTATAGGTACGAGTAAAGAACAGACCTCATTTTTCATTCCATCATTGTGTTCTCCAGCTTTGGACGCCTCTTCAGTTTTTTCTCCTTCTCGCGCAGTGCAGTATGCCCCTGCTTAATTGGAAATCTGACATGGAAAGATGACAAAGATTGAAATCACCAAAAGAGGGAGTACGAGCATAGCGTTGAAATGTGAAACCAGAATTCATTATGAAGATTTGAAGTCTTTGCTTTGCCGGTCTAAGTGCCGCGCAATTGGAGCGCGCTTTTTTGGGCTAGAGTAAGTGAAGGATGTTAGTTTTGGAACAGGATTTGTACTTGTAGTAAAATTATCGATTAAGATCTCATTCATGTAAAGAAATCTGAAAAATTATGTGAGGAAAAGCAGGGAGCAACCCCAGATTGCTCCCAGGTTGCGCGGGAACAACCTAAATTGGAAAACCTCTTACCATTTTCCAAACTCACATAAGTTTTTCATAAATTTTCATACATTTCCTGCACTCCCCATTGCCTCACTATAGAATAAATTTGGTGCCGTATCGTTACTTGTGCGTTGCAAACGGACCCAATTTGTTATTTTTAACATATCAAAACTCCGTTTTGAGTTCCCGCGCGCTGGCGACTTGTTCTTTGGAGCACAAAATCGTAGGTTTTACTAGAGTTTTAGTCATTAAAGCAGGTCAAGAGCGAGAAAAAGCTGAACAGATGGAATCCAAGGCATGTGTTTACTTATAATACCGCTCGTTACTTGTTTGTGTACTTGTTCACTTGTTCACTTATGTCAACTTTTCAAAGCCAGCAAACATCCGTAATGTGAAGCAAAGCCTAGCTCTTCGAAGCGGATTTCGGATTCTATGACTTCTTCTGTAGGTTTGATTATAAATTTTTTGCGATGTCATTATTCTCAACAAATTGAGGCCTGGAATGAATTTGCAATCATGAAACCATCAGAGTTCGACCTTTTAGCAGTGGGAGGTATTACATTTACACCTTTTTGCAGTGGATCCAAGTATTTTTGTAGCAAAACTACTTTTTACAGCCTTTGTGGCGTTATCACACAAATTCACTGAACTTTTAAGAATTTGTCAACGTCCTTCGAAGGACAAGTTTACAGGAATGAGTGAAAATTGCGCAAGTGACTTCTTGCTACTAATGATAATTTCTTAAAGTCCTCGAACATTCAAATTAACTCCGTGAAACTTTTTCACGGCACGGCTTAAGCCATGCCCCCTCACGCAAAGAACTCCTTTCTCCCCTCCCCTTTCCTCCCCGCCTCATGAACATCTCTGGACCCTCCACTGATCAGCACATATTAGCGTACAAAGCGACTTGACTATGGGTTTAAAATCTTCGATAAGAAGTGTTCTCAAAATAATTTAGTTTTCAAAACTGTTTGGTTTTGAAAGATTTGTAAGATGCATAAGATTTTTCCTTATTACGTTGAATCTTCCGAATTTTTTCCGCAAAGATTGGGTAAACATGACGGAAAAATAAGTAAGATTTTATTTTTATAGACTGTTTAGAATTTAATTTTTATAGACTGCTTGGAAACTTTCTCATATTTTTCTTGGTCTACTTTTTCGCATAAGCGCCATATCAAAGCAGAAGCTTCCTCTTTGAATTACTCAAAGGGCGAATATCTCCAAGGTGATGTTCTTGTTTCCAGTCCTTGAGTGGAAAATGAGATTACCTAAAGTTAATGGCACTTGAACTAACTTTTTTTAAAACATGCCAGACTTTGTAAAACATTGCAACAAAACATTCTCGTACGCACTCTAGTGTATGTTACGTGCGCATTTCGTAAATTACAGGAAAAAAAAATCCCGGGGCTCCGCCCCGGACCCCGAAAAACGACTTTCTTTTTGCTTTTTCGGGCCAAAAACAATATCCAGCTTGTGAAAGCGCAACCACCGCTGGGCCCTGGCGTGTTGTCAGCGAGATCATTAATGAGTTGTTTGTGAATTAAAGGCTAGCTGGTTTCGCTCAAAACGAACAAATATTCAAATTTGAAGGAGAGGTTTGACCGTGCAGAGCGTAAGGTAAAAGTGAATGACTCAAAGGCAGCGTTCGGGCAGATACGAAAATGTAGAGTACAGGGGCGCCCGTTCTGGTAAGGCTGTTGCCTAATTGGCAATGCACCAATTTGTTTCCGAAGCGAGAAATCCGCTTCAGAAGTGGCGACTGGAACGCCGCGGCGACCGGGACAAGTTAGTTCGATAAGCCGGAGTGCGCATACCGCACACAGTCAAGACGTAGGATCCCACAAAGATTCTGCGTCCTAGCCTTGGCGGCAGGCGACAAAATTCAAATCAAGAGTTTCTGAAAGAGCCCATTTTCGGCATTTTCGTGCCCTCCAAGTTGCATTTTTGGAATTGGCGGGAGGAATAAGCCCGGGTAAGTGAAAAAATTCCACTCGAAACTTTGCCCGGACGCTGCCTTCAAGTTCGGGCCTCTAAGGAAGGCATTGATGCCGAGATGTTAGGCCTTATAAAGTATACATATCAAACGTATTTTGGCAAAGAAAGCTCTGAGTAATCACACTGATTGATTGTGCTCTAATGATTTATGACTTCGAATTCCAAGTGAAACGGTGAGCGCTGATTATTGCAACCCTACTCAAATGCATAGATGCAAGTTCTTAAAAATTGTGGATAGGCGAAGTGCATGTTCATTCTTTGCGATGACTCCGAGATAGCAATGCACTCTATGTCTTTTTTCTTCTTTTTCTTTTTCTTGTCTCCCATATAAAAATCAAGACTTATAATAAGGGTGTTTACGTGTGCGATTGTGTGTGTGTGTGTGGTGTGTGTGTGTGTGTGTGTGTGTGTGTGTGTGTGTGTGTGTGTGTGTGTGTGTGTGTGTGTGTGTGTGTGTGTGTGTGTGTGTGTGTGTGACGAAATTCATTGGGCGAGTTTTCCAGAAAACACATTGAGTTAAAATGTTCATAGCATCTTGCCAGCATTTAAACCCATCATGCAAAATTTCGTGCGGATCCGCTGTGTTGGTGTGACAAAAATTGTGCGTCAAACAGATCCACACGGTTCTAAGCATGCACAGATCCACACGGTTCTAAGCAGGCAAAACTAAGTCCAGATTTGGATTTTCTGCAAAGCCATGATTTGCCTGCCAAGTAAATCTGCGTCCCATAAATTCTAACTTGAAAAATGCTCAAAAATCTGCTTCTCTGCGAATACACCGTCAGAATGTGGTGATCGCCAGATAGACGATTTGTCGTAAATCTGCATCCCATAAATTCTAACTTGAAAAGTGCTCAAAAAATCTGCTTTTCTGCAAATACAGCGTCAGATAGTGGTGATCGCCAGATAGACGATTTGTCAAGGTTTTGTCTCAAAATTTCAAAAGGTTTTCCCACGGAAATGTACCCCAAAGAGAGAAAAAATTTACTAATCTACTCGAACTTGCAGGTGTTCGTTTGCGAAAAGATTTTTTTTCTAAATTACCAGTCTTATGTAGAAACCAGTGCGTCACCTCTGCTTCGCAGAGGCTCGCACTGGCTCTACTATCCATATGCCTTACTCATTCTCGTAAAATTGTGGCAGTGGATCTCACCGCGCTATGCCGACTACCACGAATAAAATGTAAACAGCTATTCATTTAGAAAGCTTTTCCACGTGAGATCGGTGATTTTGCGTGGATGAGACTTTTTGCAGGGAGACAAACACAAATTTGAGTAGGTTTTCGAATTTGTCATGATTTTGTAGTCGCCATAAAGGCAGTGGTCACCGTGAGCTACATTCCTGAGCTACACTACTATGCGAAAATCTTTGCATATGCTTGGCTTAACCTTGGCAAATTGACCATTTACGCAACCAATACTAATTGGCGCCGTTTTCGTCATATAAGTTGACTTTTGACCACTTTTCTGGCTAAAGTTCATCACTTGCACATTTGCTCACCGAATACATACACGACTTTGCAAAAAGTGGTGATACAGACCCAATTTTGCGGGACAGAAACCAGGTGGATCCGCTTGGCGCGCAATTTCTGAGAGATCCAGTCAACGCATCTACTCGTGCTTTCTCTCGCATCTGCTCGTGCTTTCGCAAATAGGACTTCTATGCTGGTAGCATGATCTACGCAAAATTTGAGCCCAGGAGGTTGGCTGAACATGCTGTATGAATTTCGTTACAGATAGACACACAGACTTATAAAGTGCGGTTCATAATTATACGAACACCCCAAATTTTGAAAGTTTTTGGACTTTTTGGAAGAAACTCAAAAAGCCGTTGGTACCACGCGATAGAGCACAGCCGAAAACGGTATACGATCCACAAGAATGGAAATCGATATCAATCTTAGGAGTGTTTCTGCGCCTACTGCGAATTTTTAGCGGTTCATAATTATACGAACACCTCAAACAACACCTCATTTTTCATTCAAGATTGCAATCATTTGAGTCCAAATTTTTTGTAGAGTTACAGTAACAAAGTTTGACATATCTGCTACACACTGAACGCAGTGCAGCTCAAAAAGAGGATCGTACTTTTTTCAGATGGCTCTAAATGCTTTTGAAGTGATTGCACTCCAAAAACATCCGTTCTTCTGTGCTTTACGCGCTCTAATTAGCTTTTACCAAAGCTATGAGATAATATAAGCTCTTTTGATAGGTATTTTGCTTGACGCTTGGAAAATTTTTGCGTTTTCGTGTCGTTTTTCAATTAAGTTCCAACCTTACCACAGAGTTAGCACGATTTCGAGCCTCAAAACTCAGCTTCTCTCTCGCGCAAACATTTGATATGAAGCAGCTGCATTCTTTGCATGATGATGTATCCGTGCCAAGGTTTTTGCATTTTTGTAGAACTGATCTTGAAGCTATGGAGAAAAAAACCAAAAAAAGTTGTGATTGCAATAGTAAAAACCGTGGTTTTGGTGAAATGACGTCTGCGTAGCCAAAACAAACGCTCAACGCTGCTGATTTTTCTAGCCAGATACACAGTCTTGTGAACTTATAATACTATTTGCTTGCAGGCACCGTCCACCCAAAGCGAGGTTGATGAGATTTCGGTGGCATACTAGTGTGGGCCCCCACACTAGGCAAACCCCCAAGTAGCGCCGCAAAATACTCCTTCCGAAGCGAGTAATCCGCTCCGGAAGGGACGTAACTGGAGGTGGTCACTCCGCCCACTTTGCAGGCGCGCTGATATACGCAGGGCGTCATTTGCAAACTAGTCATGGGCAATTGTGCAATCGATTAGGAGTATTAGGAGATGTTTGCCCCAGTCTTCGATCCATGTTCCGTGTATTTAGCACATTCTTCGTAGTAGGGCTTTGTACTCTGCGTTTTGGGATATCTTACTCTTTTTTTGTTTATTGTATCAGCGATGGTCGTTAGTTTTAACATTTCGTCTTCGGTTTATCGCAGTGTCGTCGAACGAGCTACAACTTACCTTTTTTTGCAGTTGCCTGATCAAGAAACAGATATATCGCACTGTTGGATTTTCTTGACTGGTGCATGTTATTTTAGACGGGCTGTTGATTCCAGCAGCGCTCTGTTCTTCTTACAAGTTAGTGACTTCAAAATCAATGCTTATCATGTTTGAAAGTTATTGGCTTATCGCTCTCGTTCATGGCAGTCAGTGACAAAAGTGAGAATTGTGAATTGTGGTTTTACAGGTTTGCAAAATATGCAAAGGATTTGCGTTTATTGCAAGGTCAAATCAATAATTTGCGAGGTCAAAGTACTCCAAGGGCTGGTGCAAGAGAATCCAGTATAGCGAACTCGTTTCAACATCGCCAACAACATAAATGGGGTGAGTGGAGGTTATCCTGCTTTCATTTTCTCCAGGACATTATGAATTCATCTTGTTTCTGAATTTACAATCAAGCGTTTGATAATGTGCTTAGCAGATACTCTAGCATATTTTTGACCTCGACATTGAATAGTTTTGCCAGTTACCTCAAATGTGTTGGGGCCGTCTAAGCAAACGGCCATAGGTTGCCGGCAACGGTTGCCGAGGTTGCCGGCATGCCGAAGTTGCTGGGTTGCCGAGGTTGCTGAGATTATCTTCGTTGCCGGTCGTTGTGACCTCATAATAGCCTCCACCTTTTGCGTGCTTTCTAACCCGTCTCTGACCCCGGCAACGTTGGCATTTGGAACCGTTGCCAGCAACCTATGACCGTTCCCTAAGAAGTATTATTGGTGTGTGAGTAAGGCTGAAAGTGTGTTGTTCCTTCTTTGACCTATTCGATCTGGTAATGCATCTATTACAGGTATGGACAGCAAACATATCGAATGTCTTCTTGGAGGAGTATTTGCGTCATCTCCATGGTCTCTAACAGCAATGCTACTTATGTAACAAGCACTTCGAAAATTCCCGCAGCGGCCTTTAGCCCTCAGAACAATCCCAAAGTCAGGTGTGTCCTTGTTTCTTCTCCTTTTTTACGTGGTTATTGTTTTTCTATGTTCCCACATCTCCTGGCTAGTCCCACCATAGGGACTAGCCAGTTTGATGTCCTTCTGAAATTGCTGTTGGAGGAGAACCTTCTTTAGCCTTTCGTGGGACGGGCTCCCCCACGCAACTATGGCCTTTCCGCGTTCGTCTGGAAGGTTCTCGTGGATGCATTGGGTTATACAGCCCGTTTGCTCGTTCTGTAAAATTTTTTGAGTTTTCCTTTTGAACTTATTAATTAATTCACCTGTCTCCATTGGTGTATGCCTGCGACGTGGTACAGGCAAGTGTTGAAGTGAAACTTCATCATCTCACCCCTGTTTGTTTGTGCACCACGTCGTATGGAGTGGTATAAGTGGGCCTTTATATGGTCCTTCCACTCATGGATTGCTTCGCAATCTTTCCGTTTTTCAACCTGAATGTTGTCTTTCGGAGAATGGTATCATTTCTTCCCAATTCTTACAGCTCGCAAATTTTTGTCCAGACACTTGGATAAATGCCAAGGGTCGACGTGCCACCTGATGTGAGCATCGTACTCTGCGTTGTACGAGTCGACCTCTGTTTTGAGCGCATAGCTCCGGTCGGTTGAGATCGAATGAAGTGGAATGTTCATCGACCTGAACCACCGCAGAATGCGGTGGAATCCGATCTTTTCCATAAGCCCGCTCTTGCCACCTGCAAAAGTCTGGATTTTTGAGAAAAATTGTTCCACCTCTGACGCCACCTGTTTCTTTACGGTAGACGACTTCGGTATGCACGCAGAGTCCCGTTTGCAAATCTACGGCAAGGACTTTACAAAAGTCCGCACTGTGTCCTCTGCTATCGTAAGCGCCGTCAATCGCGATATTCCATCCTTCGAGCCGTTGGTTCTGAATTTATGTTTTCAGAAAATGTGTGGAGTAGGGGACGAGTGGCGTAGTGGTATGAGACGCCGCTATGACCAGATCGGACACAGGTTCAATCCCCGCCCCTGGGCCAACCAAGCCCTCTACCCTCCGGGGCCAGTAAATTGGTACCAGAGTAATCTGGGAGGATAGAAGCACTGACTTGGAAACGGCTGGCCCCCGCAAGTCACTGTAATAGGCTCGCACGCATACAATTGCCTCTTCGACTACGAAGTTAGTGTGTGCGTTCGGCGCATGCCCCCAGAGGGTATTGAAGACGCCGAATCCTTTATCCTTTATCCTTTTTTATGTGTGGAGTTTGTTTGGGGGTCCGTTATTTCGTTTTTCAATTTTTGTTTACCTCGTATGCGCTCTTTATATCTAGAATAGTCCGGGCTTCGTATCGGTCATAGACTGTCTCAATTGCCGGCCTAATTCTTTTGAAAAACTTGTAGAAGGCCGTGCGGCTGGGCAAGAGCAGGCTCATTTTTTTTGCCCAATGGTTCACCTTCTAAACAGATCAGCATATAAAATCAACGAAAAAGAGTTGGTTTTCTTACAGTCCAGCGGGCCCCTGTTGTTATCGCCGCGGCGCAGGCTAAGCTGGTTCCACTGAAGAGCTTTTCTTTTGGGCCTTTTCCTAGCTTTCCTTGGCCTTCCCATGTTCTTATCTGTGGATTTGGCCCTTTGGTCACATACTCAATCAGTGGTATGGCGCCGTGGTGTATCTTCAGACACACATTTCCAGCTTCACCTTCGCTGCTGCCAAGGTTGAAAAGCTCCAAGAGCTTTCTGCCTTGGACAACAAAGTATTTGTCGAGCAGGGCCGAGTCAGTTTCTTCTAGTTCAAGGCGTGCTTCACTGTCGGATTCAGGCATTTTTCCGGGAGTGAAACAGGAGCCAGTCTGAAATGGAAGTGTAAGCTAGTTCAGCTTAACTTGGTAGTCAGCAACCAGCGCAGGAATTCTGACCGTGGTTCTGCCCGACGATCCTGACTCGGCGTGCTTTACTGACGGCGTGGTGAAAACTGTTCTGGACGGGGATACTGGGACAGATTTGGTAGGGGTTTTTGATCCACCCTGTCCAGGTTCTATCACCATTTCAACGTCCATTGAACAACCTGCTTCTTCGGCAGATGTTGTTTCCTTTTCTACCTCCTAAAACATATTGATGTGATTAGTTTTATGGCAATGGAGGCAACCTGAAGAAACAGGGATTGGCATGGTTCAGGCATGTGGCAGCCGTCATTCTGGTCGTAGTATTTTCCAACATAGACGTTTAGATAACGGTTAAGATTGGAGATCGTTACCGTGACATCGCCCTAGTAAATGTGTTGGGACAGCTTTAAACGTTTTATATCAAACCAATAAGAACTAACTGAGAAAGTTTTTATGGCGTCATTCAGATGTGCTGGGATGTGTTTAGGGATGTCGCCCTCGTTCAGATAGCATACGTTTTCCTTCGTAGTAGACAACCTCCCGCCACTTGCCAGGATTTCTTGTAGGAGATATCGCGCCTGATGGTCACACATCCTATTTTTTCACGCGAATACCTACAAACACACGGCGTCTATGTAATGACGGATGCATATGCAGTGTCTCTTCACGCTGATTGCAGCAAAATCCTTCTCGACGGATTGGTATGAGTTTGATGCGTAAACTTTGAGTGTCGATAGGAGAATTGCTATGTTGATCTGGCTTTTAGCGCGTGATATGATTTGCTCGTCAGCTTTGATCTTGCAAAGAATGCATGTAAGCTTCTTCGTCATTGTTGCAGACTTGATGTCTAAAATAGCGTAAGTAGATAAAATTCTTAAACATTACATCGCATGCGGACAACAAGCAGACGCCAAGTAAACATGTTGGCTGTTCACATGATACCCATTAAACTTCTCCGATGAGACAAAATCTTTATCTTTTTTTTTAGGAAATACATCTATGATTGCCTTCACTCATTCTGTGCTTGCCTATCGTTCTACCTTCTCATTTTGCATCTGTTGTGTTCCACAGCAACGCAGTGTTCCTGAAAGTTGGTCGACATTAGGTGAGCCTCATCTTGCTACTTTTGATGTCGTATATTATAAACGGTATTGTTGAGGTATAGAGCGAGCACAGTTGATATACATTTGATTTCTTGCTTATACATGTCAGGAAGGTACTGTCGTGTATAGTTTTACGTGGGTTAGCTATTGAGCTGAAGTAGCAGACAAGTGTGCGAAGAAGCAGGTATTCTAAGATCTTTTTTTTCATATTTTCCTGTTTGAAACCTTTATTTGACGGCGTATTTTCAAAAAATCCCCTTTAGTTCTTGCTAGCCAGTTTTCGAACTTCATTGTGAACGTATACATCAAGGACTGCGACTCAAAAAATCTGTTAGGAGCATCTGAGTTTGATAGATTTCAAAAACACAGCAACTTTCTGCGTTCTTCTTGCTAGTATTGGTGGTGTCTGTAAGTATTTTGATCGATCTCTATAGTGCATGTCACGTACCAAGAATTTTCAGAAAGGTAGTGAAGATTGCTGTGAAGAACGAAAACCCGGACTTCAGTGCAAGAAGAAGAACAGCTGAATTGAAAATTTTCCTTTTTTCTGCCGCGTTCTGAAGCAGATCTAAAGGATGGCATCGCATCGGGAACTAAGTCGATAATGTCTTTCTTGAAGCTGTTTTCGGTAGTACTACTGCTAAGCCTCTCACTTAGCTCAGTGCAACTATCGTTCAACAGTATACTTCAGAATCAAACTGATGTTCCTTTATTCTAGCCATTCGTCTGAATAAACAATTACAAATGAAGTCAAAGATTCTTTGCACAACGTATACATCACGGTAACAAACACATAGTCAATAGGTTATACGATGAAAGTCATCATTGCATGCCTGCACTTTTTGTCGGTGGGCCAAGCTGATGAGAATTCACTGTCTGCAAAACAATTCCATCAAATGATTTAATAACACGTCAAGAAATCAACGTACAGCAATAGCAAGTCACCTGCACAGAAATGCGTGACAGCTTATTGCAATGATCCATTAGTCATGTAGACGACGTCAACGATCATTTTGACTACAAATAGTTTCTCAATTTGATGTACATTGCAATGAAAAAACTCACGTCGCATGTTCATCTCGTTTTATTGAGCACAAGCGTCGTCCATAAAGAAAGATCATGTTGACATCAAGATTACCATCATTGTATGCCTGTACTGAGAGCCATTATTGTATGCCTGCACTTTTTGTCGGGTGGGCCAAGCTGATGAGGATTCACTCTGCAAATAGTTTCATCAAATAATTGAATAACACGTCAAGATCAACGCACAGCAATAGCAAGTCAGCTGCACAGAAATGCGTGACAGTTTTTTTGCAATGATCCATTAGTCATGTAGCAACGGCGAAAACGATGATTTTGACTATCATCTGTTTTACGACTAAGAGACGCGAAACCGCATTGCGGACATTGTCAACAAGTTTGAGTTTGTTCTTCCGTGTTTCCGAAGATTGAATAAACCTGAATGAGATATATAACAAGTATAAACCTGCTAAATACACGACCAGGCTTGTTTAGACAAAGTGTGCAATGCGGGCGTCTCCTGGTCACAGAATGAATGATACAAATAGTTTTTGAATTTGATGTACATTGCAATGAAAAAAAAAACTCACGTTCTCTTTGCATGTTCATCTTCTTTCATTGATTGAGCACAAGCATCACCTATAAAGAAAGATCATGTTCATGTCAAGAAAAACAGCTATGCCGGATGTGATGATGGCTATAATCGGAAAAACAACTTTGTCGTAAATTTGGTCATGACTGAAGAAAAAACGAACGGTTGAGAATACAAGTACACGAAATAACACTAGAAAAACTCCGATTAGTCGCTTACGACGAGGCAGCGTACTGCGCTGTGCGTGTAGTCTCTTCAGCGGTGCGCCTGCAAAGTGGGCGGAGTGACCACCTCCGGTTACGTCCCTTCCGGAGCGGATTTCTCGCTTCGGAAGGAGTATTTTGCGGCGCTACTTGGGGGTTTGCCTAGTGTGGGGGCCCACACTAGTATGCCACCGAAATCTCATCAACCTCGCTTTGGGTGGACGGTGCCTGTAAGCAAATAGTATGTAAAAGTTCACAAGACTGTGTATCTGGCTAGAAAAATCAGCAGCGTTGAGCGTTTGTTTTGGCTACGCAGACGTCATTTCACCAAAACCACGGTTTTTACTATTGCAATCACAACTTTTTTTGGTTTTTTTTCTCCATAGCTTCAAGATCAGTTCTACAAAAATGCAAAAACCTTGGCACGGATACACCATCATGCAAAGAATGCAGCTGCTTCATATCAAATGTTTGCGCGAGAGAGAAGCTGAGTTTTGAGGCTCGAAATCGTGCTAACTCTAGGGCGAGGTTGGAACTTGGTTGAAAAACGGCACTAAAACGCATAGATTTTCCAAGCGTCAAACAAAATATCTATCGAAAAAGCTTATTTTATCTCATAGCCTTGATGCAAGCTGATTAGGGGCGTAAACCACAGAAGAACGTATGTTTTTGGAGCGCAATCACTCCAAAAGCATTTAGAGCCATCTGAAAAAAAGTAACGATCCTCTTTTCGTGCTGCACTGGGTTCAATGTGTAGCAGATATGTCAGACTTTGTTACTGTAATTCTACAAAAAATTTGGACTCAAATGATTGCAATCTTGAATGAAAAATGGCCTTTTGTTTGAGGTGTTCGTATAATTATGAACCGCACTTTACACACACACACACACACACACACACACACACACACACACACACACACACACACACACACACACACACACACACACACACACACACACACACACACACACACACACACACACACACACACACACACACACACACACACACACACACACACACACACACACACACACACACACACACACACACACACACACACACACACACACACACACACACACACACACACACACACACACACACACACACACACACACACACACACACACACACACACACACACACACACACACACACACACACACACACACACACACACACACACACACACACACACACACACACACACACACACACACACACACACACACACACACACACACACACACACACACACACACACACACACACACACACACACACACACACACACACACACACACACACACACACACACACACACACACACACACACACACACGTAAACAACCTTAGTCCGTTATTATAAGTTATGATGCTTCAAGAATGAGCAGTTGCTTACAATTCATTTGTGATGTTCAGCATCGCGCGAGGAGTTTCAAAGTCATCATTATGCGAACATGAGAAAGGCATACGGATAGCAGATAGTGCGAACCTCCACGAAGCGGAGGTGACGCACTAGTACATAATACTTGACAATTATAAAAACCATCATATTCGAACAACAAATTTTTTGATGTTTATGATGTGCTTGAGTAGTTGTCACATTTAGCTGAAAATGCTACTATAGTCGTGTAACGCCTTGACAGCTCACAGCAGTGCATATGATGCGTTAAAATGTGTCAAAATCTTGCCAGTTTAGGATTTGTTATAAGTTACAGCAGTGCACATGAGAATGGATTTTTTGGCGAAATATCTGTGCATTATTGTACCTTACCACTTCTAACAACATTTTCGTACTTACAGAAACAAGATTTCTGTATTTTGTCGTTCTACAGCTTTGTTTAGTGATAGACACATAGGCTATCACATGTAATATAAAACATCCTACAAATGTATGGCAGCATGCATTGCATCTTGCGTATTCCAGGTACGCTTACGCTCACGATAAAAGGTTGCAATTTAGCGATAAGAAGTACTACTGTTTTAGAATGTGTGGAACCGGACATTGTGAATTGCGTGGAGACCGTTTTTGTGTATGTGAATGAGAATGTGGGAATGAGAAGTAATGTTTGAAGGCAGCGTCCAGGCAATGTGAACCTATGGCGATTTTACGTAGAGGGTATTTTTGGGGCCTTAGCTAAAACACTGCCCAAGCGGCAGCGCAGGTAGTGCTCTAACGGCTGAGACATACCCCTCGAAACTGGACCCCGCGATCGTATTCGCATGAATTCATGGCAGTTTCGCGCCAGGATGCACGCTTTGCGCCACGAATCCATGCGAAACACGGAGCTCCCACAATCCAATTGTTGTGACTGTAATAGTGAAGGCTGCTAAGTAGAAATGAGTTGATAGAATAATCTCATGTTTTCCATTATGATCTGTTTATGTAAATAAGTAAGCTATAAATAGCAGCCTAATTCGTAGAGACGTTCAGTTTTACTGCTTGTCACTGGAAGGCAGATAAAGAGTCTCCGCTGAAGCTGTTCACGAACACAACAAACTGGCGATCAGGATGAGCAGCGGAGACTCGAGAAGAAAGAAGACGAAGACTTCTTCAACGGATGGCAGAACAACGGACGGCAGAGCGATGGACGGCGGAATGACGGACGATAGACCGATGGAGGGCAGCAGTTCGATGGACGACAAGCCTATGGAGGGCAGACAGCATGTTTCTCCATTGGAGAGCGTGCTACAAGTCATGCAGGAGCAGATGCGCCTGCACCAAGAACAGATGAAAGCCATTCTTGAGGCCATCGCTCGTGGCCAGGGCGCCGGTACTGGGCAGAGCAGTACCGCAGCAGATGCGCCGAATCTTATGTGCGCTTTGAGCAATAGGATCGAGAAATTTACGTTCGATCCTGAAGCCAACCTTAGCTTCAGCCAGTGGTACGCACGCTACAAGGACGTGTTCATCGAAGATGCCAAGCCGCTAACGGAAAGTGCTAGAGTGCGACTTCTCTGTGAAAAGTTGGACAGAGAAGACTTTGAAAAGTATCAGAGACACATACTACCAAGACAAGTAAACGCTATAGGATTCGAAGAGACAGTTTCAATCCTGAAGCAGCTTTTCGACATGAAGACTTCGCCGTTTACACTAAGGTATCAATGTCTAAAGCTGGAGAAGAAAGAGTTTGAAGATTATCTTCTGTATACTGGAAGAGTTAACGAACTCTGTGAAAAAGCGAAGGTCCATGATCTGGATAGCGACGGAATCAAGTGTCTACTATGGATTTTCGGATTGAAGAGTCCAAAGGAAGCTGAAATAAGGCAAAGACTTATTGCAGTGTTGGACAAGGAGTACAAAGCCGAACATAAGATGACCCTACAAGAACTCTACTCAGAATGCGAAAATTTTCTTAGCTTGAAGAAGGATAGCGAGACCATAGCTGGAAATAACACGAGAGTGGTAGAAGCAGTCAAAGAAGAACACAGGATGTTGGAATGTTGGAACTGTTCTGGGCAGCACTTGTTCAAGGATTGCAAAGCAAAGCCGTGGTTCTGTAAGAAGTGCAAGACAACAGGGCATAAAGAAAAGTTCTGCGAACTCATCAACAGAAGAAAACTAGCTGATCAACCAAGTACCAATGCAAGAGATGTTGGAAGCAGTGGCAACGGCAGAATGAAGCGAAGAAGGAAGCAAACGAGACTTGCAACCCATCCACGTGTGCGGAATATAGTGAAGATCGCAAACGCCACAATGGATGTCAACTCTCCACGAGTATATCTGGAAACGAAAGTAAATGGTCAGTCACTAAAGTTTTTGCTTGATACAGGATCGGATATCACGCTGTTGAACGAGATAGTCTGGAAGAAAATGGGCGCTCCAAACCTTGAAAAGACGAACGTTTCTGTCAAGGACGCCAGTGGAAACTCTATGAAGATATATGGCAAACTGTGGTGCAACTTCGAGCTGAAAGGATCCAAGAGTGAAGGCTACGCGTATGTTACTCCTCACAATTCTTTGTTAGGTATCGACTGGATACGGAAGAATGAAGAGATGACCTATCACTTGGAAAGGATGATCGCAAATGTGAAGGCCGACCAGAATGATATTATGGCACAGAAGTTGAAAAATGCTTATTCAGAAGTATGCAAAGATGGTCTAGGATTATGCACCAAGGAGAAAGCAGACATGCAGGTTGGTGGAAGATTCCATCCAGTGTTCAAGACTTGCAGATCTGTCCCCCATTCTGCTTTTGAAACTGTCGAGAAGGAACTGGACAGACTCCTGGAAATTGTTGAGATGTACAATACCGCTGCGACAAGGACTGTAAAAGTTTTGAAAATGTTTGCTAGATATGAACCACTGCATACTATCGTGACTGACAATGGAACTCAGACGTCAGAACTGTTCAAGAGCATGTCTGAAGAAGAAGGAACTTTGCACAAAAAGACTGCTCCTTATCATCCCCAGTCAAATGGACAAGAAGAACGCTTCACTGATGTCCTGAAACGTGGAATCAAGAAGCCTGAGGGGGAGGAGAGGCCGACAGGAGATGAAGGCCTACGAAGAAATAAAAGCATAGTAAAGAATATGAACCAAGAGATTCCGCCACACTTCCCACAAGAATTAAGATCACCTCCGTTAAGAACTAGACATCAACTATCTATGCAGCCTATGGTCACAGAGAATGTCACAATCAAAAGATTCTGCGATACAGCTCATGTGATCTGATTGTTGATGTATATTGTACTTACCAATGTAGTAGGCTAGTTTGAGTTGTAACTACCCTACTGGGGGAGGTGTTGTGACTGTAATAGTGAAGGCTGCTAAGTAGAAATGAGTTGATAGAATAATCTCATGTTTTCCATTATGATCTGTTTATGTAAATAA